AGGAACCACCCCCTCCCTCTGCCATCTGAAGGCAGGGGAGAGGCATGGTGACCGCATTAACTCTTCCCGCCCTGCAACCTCTGCGAACCGAGTCATCCACGCCATGCCATGACCCACACGGAAGTTAGAATTAAAAAAAAAAATTCAGATGTGGCAAGGACCCAGGGGGGGTTTTAGGGAAAGCAGTGCTTGGTCTGTCCAGATGAATTTCACAGGCTCTGGGATAAATGCCCCCAGCCGCTGAGCAGGGATTGGTGGAGGAAGTAACCTGGGCCAGAGGAACCCAGGAAGAGGGGGAGGGAAGGGGGAGAAAAAGAACCCAGCACTGAGAATTCTCCACAGTGCAGCCCTCGACATGTGGGGAGTAAATGGATTAGTCCTGACAATGATGTAGCAAGATGAATAAGCTGTTTGTTAAATTCCCCAGAGGACATTTTAAATCACTCACAAAGTCTCTGCTGTCTCTTTTAATGTTCCCTTGTGGGGCTGGGAGATCACCGCGTGGGGACAGTAAGGCAGCTGTTGTGAAATGGGGGAGGAGCTTGCTGTCGGGGATAAGACGCTGGGAACAGCTTTGTTCACATGGCCAAGATCACGGGTAGTGATGCGGTTCATGTGCGTCTATTAAGCCTTGTTTGCAGGTTAGTTATGTTGTCTTATCAACTTGACTCAAGCTTGGGTCATCTGGCAAGAGAGAACCTCAACTGAAAAAACAAAACAAAACAAAACAAAACAAAAACCCCTCAACCCCCAACCCCACAATAGATTGGGCTGTAGGCAAACCTGTGGGGCATTTTCTGAATTGATAATTGACGTGAGAGGGTCCAGTCTACTGTGGGTGATGCCACTCCTGGGCTAGTGATCCTGGGAGGGGTAAGGAAAGTGGCTGAATGTGAGCCTGAGAGCTGTGAGCCTGAGAGCTGTGAGCCTGAGAGCAGCCTTCCTCCACGGCCCCTGCTTCAGTCCCTGCCTCCAGGTTCCTGCCCGGACTTGATGTGGAAGCATAAGCCAAACAAACAAAGCCTTTCTTTCCCAAGTTGCCTTTGGTCATGGTGTTTATCAGAGCAGAGAGGGAACCCCACCAGCACATCTGGAGGCCGGTGTGTTGGTCATTGACACCCCTGCTGTGGTCCGTATTAATCAGCACAGAAGCAGAGCTTGTATAGAGTCAGAAAGCAGATCAAAGTTCCTGCAGAAATTCTGCTCACAGTCATTGGCTTGGAAAATAGGAAGCAGAATTTCCTACCAGGGAACTTAGTGCTGGGCAACCCCCTCTGTCCTGCTTTTCTCCGGCACCTGGCCTGGGTGTTGGAAACACCGTCTCCAGAGCCCAGGGCCTTTGGCACTGGGACTTGCTTGAAGGAACCGTGCCATGGATTCAGTGTCCTGGTGAAATCCTGTGCTTCCGGCAGGCTTCAGGTCCTTTGGGGAATGCACATGGCCAAGCAATCATAATTTGATATCAGGCATCATGAGATTGTCCCACAGGGACCTTTTACAGACTACCCCCAGCCCGTCCACACAGTCAGCACTCCCTAGCATTTCAAGGTTGATCTCAAGTTCTTTTGTGGTGAATCTGTTGCTCACTGGCTCCCTTCTTCCCTCTTCCTTTTTCCCCCCTCAAAATGTTTATTTGTGTGTGTGTGTGTGTGTGTGTGTGTGTGTGTGTGTGTTCGAGAGCATGTGCAGGCACAAGCATGCCATGGCACACATGTGGAGATCAGAAGCTAACTTTTGGGGAGTAGCTTCTCTCCACCTACTCTGTGGGTTCCAGAAGTTGAACTCAGGTCCTCAAGCTTGGCAGCAAGAGCCTTTAACTAACCCTGAGCCGTCTCACCTGCCTCTCTCTGTCTCTCCATCCATTCCCCCATTCTCTTTCTTTTTTCTGTTTTCCTCTCACACCCATCGTTTTTCTCTCTTCTCTCTTCATCTCCCCCTTTTCTTCCTCTCTTTACCTCCCTCCTCTTCTCCCCCTCCTTCTCTACTCCTCTTTTGTCTCTTCCTTCCTCTCTTCCTTCCCTCCTTCATGTTGGTTAAATGGCACGCTGCTCGTGGCTGGCTGCCGCCCGCGGGGCCATGCCGGCGGAGGAGCATGCTGGAGGAGGAATCACAGGCCATGGTTACCTTTTTAGAGCTTTATTGGGAGAGAGGGGAGAGAGAGAAAGAACGAGAGAGAGAGAGAGAGAGAGAGAGAGAGAGAGAGAGAGAGACGCACAGAGGGCCCACCTGCTTTTTAGGCTGGG